TGCCCTGTCTGATACCACAGTCATTATATATTGGTCCAAACCCACAGGATGGACAACACCAAGAGAGAACCCTAATGCCCACCATAGACATGAGGTAGCAACAGTGTGCCAATGTGGGTTCATCAATTGTTCTAAATGTACCACCATGGTGGCAGATGTCAACACTGGGGGAAGTTGTGCATGTGGAAGAATGGTGTATATGGGGATGCTGTACTTTCTGCTTAATCTTGCTTTGAACCTAAAACTGCTCTTAAAAAATAAAGTTTATTAAATTTCTTTTAAGCGACTACATAGTTCTCTCACCCCCCCTTCTCTCTTCTCTAGAAAAAATAAAAATGAATTCATCTTTTCAACATTCAAATAGTTCAAAACCAAATGTTCATTCAAAACAAGCCTCTCCACTGGCAGTGTTTAAAAACAATCATGGTTGGGCATTACAGCACATGCCTATAATCCCAGCTACTTAGCAGGCTGACGCATGAGAATAACAAGTTTGAGGCTAGCCTAGGCAATTTAGTGAGGACCTATCTCAAAATAAAAGGGCTGAAATGTAGTTCAGCACTCACTGGGTTCAATCTCTAGTATCACACACACACACAACAATTAATTACACTTTTACCTTAGCACAAACTGATTAAAAAGTTGGACAGGAAGAGACAATGGGGGGTTTACTGTATTTTTTCATCTTGGTAGTAACTGTAGAGTTTATGATGATTTGTTAAACAGTACATATATATATGCTTTGTGCACATATACAGCAGCAAAAACCAGAGAATAGTTTTTTTAAAAAGCTTCCCTATAAAAACTGTTCTAAGTATAGCAAACTAACTAAAGATCTCACTTAAATGTATTCATTCTAATTGTCCTTTAAAAGGGTCCAAAGTAGGGACCCAAAGCAGCTCAGTGGTTCTGGCACCTGCCTCACAAGTGCAAGGTCCCGAGTTCGATCCTTGGTACCAAAAAGAAGAATCATAAAAGGGTCCAAAGAACAGAGATGGGAACAAAGAAAAAAATAAATGAAATACATGAGTGACTAATTCACATCTTCCCAGACAAGTCACAATGTGAGATAGATGAGTATTAAAAAATTAATAGTTAAATATTGCCAATCTCTCCTCTAAATAAAGATTTATATATATAAAATAGAAAGGCACAAAATCATTTCCCTTGTACCCAGCTTATATACTCCATGATTTTTTAAAGTGTCTAAGGAAATGGTACTTTCATGGTGTCCTTTGGTTTTGGACCTGCAGTACTTTCCACTCCTCAAGTATCTGGCTGTGTCTTGGTTTATACCACATCACCTTCTCTGTGGGTACAGTGCAGGAGTCAGATGCCTCCTCCTCACTCTGTAGACAGAAGCTACACTTGTGACGTGATACCATACCCCTGTTCTACAAGTTTGGAGCAGAAACTTGGAGAACCCTTTGATTAAGGCCATTTCTCAAGTCCCCCAAGCAAACTGCCACTACTTCCTTCTCCAGAAGCCTGGCAGCTGATGACCATTCCCCTTCCAGCTCAAGAGGGAGCAGTTATTTCCCAGCAGTGGGTCTGTAGGTCAGCATGATCTCTCCAATTATGTGCTGATCACTGCCTTTGGCTACACAAACAGCATCTCTGCTGCTGTCTTTAGTAATGGAGACTCTCAGAGGAGACATCATGCTATTAATTTGGCCTAGGTCATCTTCACTAATACGTCCCTCCTTTGGAGCTGTCAGTCTGCCATAAAAACCCCACCATAATTGAGTATGTTTGTGCCTTTTCTGGTTTGAATAACACAGGAGAATGATTCTTTAGTTGTCAGTTCTTTCAGAGCCTTTCTTAAGGAAAGAAAATTCTTATTTTAACTAGGAATAACCAGACACTAGTCTATTACTGCTACAACAACGCTCAAAAGAGCTGTACAAAAGAAAAATGAGGCTTCACCTCCAAAAGTCATTAGAGATTTTTTTTTCTTATTAAGGCACCCAGAACACAATATTATGCTGAGCCAAAAGGACCAATTCTCTTCATGGAGTAGAATAGCAATTGGCTGTTACTCATTAAATTCTTAAGCAATGAGCAATGACTTGCTTTCTCATTTTGTTTCTCTTTAAATAGTCGATGGAGTGGATTTTTTTCCAGGGCTACCTCCCATCCCTGGCATTCCTGATCCCTGGCCTGTGCAGCTGTTAACATGCTGCACACATATGCCTGGGCTCCTTAACAACCGATGCAGTTAACCTTTCTGTTCACTCTCAGTCAGTTCCTATCTTGTTAGTGAAATCGATTTTTTTCTTTCTTAAGATAATGATTTCATCTGGTATAAAAACTATATATAGGGCCAGGGATTTAGCTCAGTGGTTCTGCCACCTGCCTCACAAGTGCAAGGTCCCGAGTTCGATCTGTAGCACCAAAAAAAAAAACTATATATAAAAACTCCACTGGTTTTCTTTTCTTTTTTTTTTTTTTCCTCCACTGGTTTTCTAAATCCTATTTTTATTACAAGAGCCTCAGGGTCCATTCATTCTTATGTTCAAATTGAGAAAGATATGTGCATTCATAGTAATTCTAAAAGATGGGTTTGATTACAGCTACTCTATGAATATGGTTATCATTGTGTGCGTTGGGGAGGGGGCTAAGTGTTAGAGCCCATCATTTAATTTTCTTGATTGAACATAGGTAAAGGATTTTATTTCCTGTAACTAATGATTTAGGAGTGAAACATTAGAAACTATACTACAGGACACTTTGTCGTAACGATCTGTGTTCAACAGTACTTCTCTTCCACAATTTGGCACCATCATTTTAATTATCTAGTAATCTGTATTTCTCAAAGATAGGAAGCTCATGGAAGGTAGGGACTGTATCAGAACTACTATTTTATCCTTAGGGCACATTAAAGGATGATATATAGTGAATAGGTAAGCATTTCTGTTAGTGTTAGAATCATATTCAATACAAAGTCTGATTTTTCTTTTCTTTTTCTTTCTTTTCTTGTTCTGAGAATTGAATCCAGGGCCTTGTGGACACTGAGCTACATCCCCAGTCCCCAATGTCTGATTTTGATTAGCCATAGTTTTAGACTAACTGGCGTGCTCACTGCCCCTAAAGTTTAGAAATGAATGTTAACCAGTCATGGTCCCTGTTCACTATTTTCACCATCTCCACTATCGGTCAGCATCTCTCCCCAAACACAGCATCCTAATGGGAGACAGCAGAAACAATGCTAAATGTGTGCATTTCAAGCCTTTTTGCTCTGATTCTGGACTCTGCCACTCTCTAGCAATACCTCCAGCGAGTCACTTTTACCACTGTGGATTTCACACTAAAGACTGAAGAGGAGCAGGGCCGGGGATTTAGCTCAGTGGTTCTGTCGCTTGCCTAGCAAGCACAAGGACCCGAGTTCAATCCCTGGTACCAAAAAAAACCAAAAAAAACCCCAACAAGACTGAAGAGGGGAACTGGACTGAAGAGGTCTAAGGACTTCTATGGATCCAGCTCCAAACTTACACAGCCATGAATTAGTGAGAATACTAGGGGTAGACCAGAGTGCTTATCAACACTAGAGGGAGCTGTGTTCATGTCATCGCTGGGGTAGTTAAAATACTGCAAGAAAAAGCATCCTCACTGGAAAACTGCCTTGCCAGAGTGACACAAACACAGAATCAAGTGAGGTTTCCACACAGCCGTGCCGCACAGGCTCTCACAGGTGTCAGAATCCCTTGTACCTCATTGCATTAATGCACTGTTTGACTTTCATTTTAATTCCATGAAAACCAAGTTGGCCTTCAGCCATTCCTAGAGATGTCTTTGCCTATCGGCTGATTTCTTCCTTAAAAACAACAAAAAGCAAAGTAATTAATGATGTCACTGGAAAATTCCCAAAGGGAGATAGAGGAGGGGGGAGATGTACAGCGTACTGAAACTGTGGCCTGGGAAAGACGGTGAAGTTAACAGCTGAATCCATTAGCAGCCTGCCATGGAAACCCAAAGCTACTCAAAAAAACAGAAAAGATCACAGAAGGGAGGAATCCACACAGCTCTGCCAGGTGGGTGCTGAAAGGCCTTGGGGAATAGCCTCTCGGCTTGGGGGAAAGAGCTCACAGCTGAAGAGTGATGTTGCTAATGAGAGGCAATGGGGTCACATGTGGCAATGGGGTCACATGTGGCACTGGGCAAGAAAACTGTCAAGGGATGAGATAAGGGAATGCAGAATGGGGTAGGGAAGGAAAAAGCACTTCTGAAGTTGAAGATTATTCTGACATTACTCTCTCTCCAGCCCCGAAACACCCATAGCCTTAAAAATGTTTGACCTAAACCATTATAGAACAATGAAACGAATCAAACCCTCATCCTTGGTATCAGCTGTGTTTCTCTTTGCCCAAGGGAACAATGGCATGTTAACCTGACAGAGAGGGCATAAATCATAGACATTACACAATGTAGTCTGTGGGAGAAAGATAAATGCAATGCTGCAGAACCTCTTCTATTTAAATTTCAGAGATTAATGCAACTCAAAAAAGCAAACCCTCAACAGTCAGAAATGGACCACCTACTTTTTAGGACACAGACTACTCCCGAGTAAAAACAGATTATACAGAAACTAAGGAAAGCCATGTTGTGGGTAAAGAGAAAAATCTACTAGAAAAACAAACAGTTCTTTTTCACCTAAAAAGATGAAATTCCAACCTCCAGAGGTAAGTACAGAATAAAAACTTGCCATGTTAAAAACAACTTATTCCTATGCATCCAAGTAGTTGGGATACTGTACTTTCACTTAAATCACCAATTTCAATACTCCAGAAGTGCCAAAGCCTAACAAAGTCATGAGGATTTCTCTCTTTTCTTTTTTTAAGAACATAAAAAATATTTTTAAATAACTCTTTCCATTAATGATCCTCATGAAAAGCATAAGAAAATTAAACTCTACTGTTAAAAGGAAAACAACTTGTTTTCCTCCCTTATTTAGGGAACATGCCAAAGGATTTCCAATTTTCTCTCCATATTCTCATACTGACCTTTAAAATATTTCGGCCATCAAATGATTCTCTTTCCTTGAAGATATATTTGCCATCTGCTGTGTAGAGATTGTACCTGCCTTCAGCTGTAAACATTCCAAAGATAGTGGTAGAGAATCTTGGGTTATTTCTGTGTTTGTATTCCCTTGGATTTCTCTAAGTACACAAATACAACTAGCAAAATTTTCATGTGCTACTGGAAAGTGCCATTATGTGGAGGGAAAAACAGCAGGCTATTAATCAACAGACCTGGCTTCTAGTGCCAGGTCTGCCATCAGCTCATTCAATATACATCCATTCATTCAACATTCCCATGTACTCATGCTAAGTACTTATTATCTAGATATATCTTGCACAAATTATGTGCCTTCCTTGGACTTCAGTTCTTCATTTACAAAGTTAGAGCTTGAGACTAACTGATCGCCAAAGAACTGATCTCCAAAGGTTTCTCCTTACTATCTACAAACCCAAGACAAGTTGCTTGCAATTTTTAAAAATGTTTAATTTTTATTATTTTTTATTTTTAGTGCTGGTGATTAAGCCCAAGGCCTTGCACATACTAAGCAAGCACTCTGCCACTGAGGAACACTGACAATCCTGCATGCATTTTTAAATATGTAAAAATGCACAGAAGTTCAAACATTAGTCAAAACTGCTGGCTCCCCACACTTTGGGTTGATTTAAGGGCTCTCCTCAAATGAAAAAAAGTCCTTTTGTTGCAATCAAAGGTATCCTTACAGATATTCTACATTGAAATGCAGCAAATCTGTGACCTTGGCCCAAACAAAGCTGTGCTCTAGCTTCTGAGTTAATTTAGGTTGTATGTCCCAGAGGATATCCTTAAAGGGCAGCAAGAAGAGGCGGATCAAAGGAAAGGGAAACAGAAAAAGAAAAAGTAACACATCATTTCATGTCCTTTTCAAGTAAAAATTCAATAAAGAGAAGAGCATAGGGAACAGAAAATTCAAAGCATCAAAAATTACTTAACTTGCAGAATATTTTCTATATCAACCCTTTCTTGTCTACCAAAGGACCTTCATTCAAATTCCTTTTTTTCTTATTATGACTTTTTTTTTTGGTACCAGGGATTGAACTCGGGGCCTTGCGCTTTTGAGGCAGGTGGAGGAACCACTGAGCTAAATCCCCAGCCTTCCTTTTTTTCTTTCTTTCTTTCTTCCTCTATCTCCCTCCTTCCCTCCCTCCCTCCCTCCCTTCTCTCTGTGGTACTGGAGGTTGAATCACCCATGGAGAACTAGGCTACATTCTGCCCTTGCCCTCACCCGTGCCATTCTCCTCTCCTCTCCTTTCCTCTCCCCTCTCCTCTCCTGTCTCTCCCTCCCTCTCTTCCTTTCTTTCTTTCTCTCTCTCTCTCTCTCTCTCTCTCTCTCTCTCTCTCTCTTACTTATTGGTACTAGGGATTGAACTCAGGACGTTGCGCTTTCGAGGCAGGTGGTGGAACCACTGAGCTAAATCCCTGGCCCAGCCCTTTTTATTTTAAGACACAGTATTGGTAAGTTGCTCAGGCTGGCCTCAAATTTGTGATCCTCCTGCCTCAGCCATCCAAGCAGGTGAGATTACAGCTGTGCACCATGCCCACCCACACTTTCCATTTTTGAGTATGTTCTTTTATTTACACAGGTTGGAGAAGACCAGGTGAGAAATCTGCCCAGAGTTCTAACAACTCCATGAACATACTACTACAGTTTTAGCTATATACATGGGTAACTATGGAACTATTTCTCTAATGAGAAGTATTTTCCTAATCCAAGGCCTCAATCCTATGTAAGTTTCCTTGTTAGGAAAAAGAGGACATGTGCAGTTTGACAATTAAAGCGGGGGGCTGGAGATGTAGCTCAGAGCAAGACCCTTGGTTCAATTCTCATTACCAAAAAAACCAAAAAATAAAAACACTAACAGAGCCAAATGAAGATACATGACAAGTCTTTGATGGCCATTGTATTTAAACCGCTAGTTAACCCTATACACCCCTGCTCATCACAGTGTGCTATAGCTCTGTAAGTACCTACCATTGGGGTCTTTCCTAAATAGTGTGTTCATGACTGTAGCATGGAGTTTCACACTACTCCATTCTTTCACTATTAGTCCAGATGCCTGAAAGCGTTCCAGTACTCGATCCACCAATTCCTGCAGCCTGGAAAAAAATGAAGACAGAAGTACAGAAACTTTAGTCATTTTCTAACGTCCTGGCTATTAATTCAACAACGTGCCTGAGGCCCCTGCTCTGTCCAAACACTGCAAAGCCCTGCAACAAGAACAGAGGCTACAGTCCCCACCAGCATGGAGCCCCTGACTTGTAAAGAAGGCAGGAGTGAAGCTGGGCACAATGGTACATGCCTGTAATCCCAGCTGTCAGGAGGCTGAGGCAGGAGGATCATGAATTCAAGGCCAGCCTGGACTACATAGTGTGACTCTATCTGAGAAAAACATATAAAAAAAGAAAGACGAGTGGAAACAAATAGTTGTAATTCTTGTATGTTACAGTGAGTGTTAAGGGGGTGATCTGCTGTACATGCGGAGGGCCAGGTTTCCACAGGTTTAAATATGGGTCTTGAAGGATCATAAAGATTTGCAGACAAAACTAGGGAAGGAAGGGCACTTCAAGCAGCAGAAGAAACAGCATGTGCAAAGATGCCAAGGCATGCAAAATCACAGACTGGGTAGAAACTGCCAACTACTGAGTATGGTTACAACACAGGGGACGATGGAAATGAGCCAGATATATAAGCAGAGGTCAAACCACGAGGAGCCGTGAGACTTTTTACAGGCACAGCGCAATCTGCTGTCCACTTCTGAAAGCTGACTTGCAGAGCAATGCAGAAGTGCCAGAGAAGGGGAAGGGAGGAGCAGCAGAGGTCAGCGGGGCAGAGCTGACTGGAGAGAAGACATCAAGCGTGATGTGATGGGCATTGTGCCAAGCACTTGGCCTCTGCTGAATCATTTAATCCTCACAACAAATCATTACCTCTGTTTCACCAATGAGGAAACTAAGGCACAGAAAAGTTATGCAACTTGGCAAACTCAGTGGCAGATCCAAAATTAGAATGTAGGGCTGAGACTGTTGCTCAGTGGCAGAGTACGTGTTTAGCATGCCCAAGGCCCTGGGTTCAATCCCCAGTACCACACATATTCTCACTCTGTCTCTCTGCCTGTGTTTCTCTGTCTCTGTTTCTATCTCTCTCTGACATGTTCTTAGGTACCAGCAGTACAGCTCAGTGGTAGAGCACGTGTTTAAGACACACAGACCCTGGGTTCAATCTTCAGCACCAAAAGATCTAGTAAGTTAATTAAAATTTTTAAATGAGGGGCCAGTAATTTACATTGAGGCAATACTCTTTTTTTTTTTTTTTGGTACCGGGGATTGAACTCGGGACCTTGTGCTTGCAAGGCAGGCAGCAGAACCACTGACTGCCCCGCAAGCACAAGGACCCGAGTTCAATCCCTGATACCAAAAAAAAAAAGAAAAATTTTAAATTAATTTTTAAAATTAGAATGCGCACGATCTGGCTTCAGAGGCCATGCTCTTCAAGGCCACATTATACCAGGAATATAGTGGCGACCTAGACTATGGCAGGGGCAGTGAGAACTGAGATGAGGATGTGGACTATTCAAGAGTGGTGAGTGGGGCAGAGGAGAGGAGCAGGCTGAGAACGGCTCTTGAACCATCCTTGATGACTGCCAGTGACCAGCTGGGTCATTACCAAGGCGGAGAACAGTGAGCAGCCACTGTCGATTGTGTTGCATGGGGAGAAAGTTAATACTGTATGATCCTTCGTGTATGGTGTGGGATATCAGGTCAGACATATCAGGAAGAGACAGAAATACAAGCTGGATATTTAAGAGAAAAATCCAGGCAACACTGCAAAAAACAACAGTTAAGAGCATGGGGACAGAGGCCATCATGGAGAGAAGATTCAGCATGAGCCAAGAAGATAAGGACAGTCTGAGGGGACGCTGATCTTCATAAGGGGCAGAGTAGGAAACGGCAGGGGGCGCTGCTTAGAATGAGGAAACAGGAGAAGACTTCAGAGGGGCTCAAAGGAGAATTACAAGAGGGTGCAAAGGAATAAGCAGTTCAGTACAGCACTAGGGAAAGTAAAGTAAGACAATACCTCACAGAGGTAAGGAACCTCTGTCACTGCAGCCTTGCTTGGCACACCAGAAACAGAAATCTTATGATGAGGACTAAGGGAAAAACTCAACAGGGGTGGGGCATAAATATACACTATTGGGCTGGGGATTTAGCTCAGTGGTGCTGCCTCTCAAGTGCAAGCTCCCGAGTTCAATCCCTGGTACCAAAAGAAAAAAAAAAAAAAAGTACACTACTCTTAAGAAACTGAAAAGGAACAAGAGAAATGAATGTGTTGTTAATTATAAGATTCAGAGTTGAGGGAAGTTTAAAAAAATTTTGAAAAATGCTTGCTGACAATAAGACATTATCCAACAGAGAAGGAAGGTGAAACCTCAGGCTGGAGAGAAACAGAGTAAGACCTCAAAGAAGACAGGGTGGCGGTGCCGGGCGGGGGTGGGTCACACAGGCAAATAAGACAGGTCCCTGTGCTGAGGCAGCTTCCAGGCTGGGCCAGTGGAAGGAGATGGCCCATAAGCATGCACACGTTTCTTCAGGGAGCACAGTGGGACTGGGGTAGCTGAACTGCTTTAGACAAGGCGACAGAGACGGTCTCCCTGACAAAGTGACATCTGAGCAGAAAACTGAGGGGAAAGCATCCCAGAGAGGGAATGGCAGACATCAGAGGATGTACAGGACACAACGTGGTAACACAGCCACTGTCTGGGGGGAAATCCGGGAGAGGTGATGAGGTCGAAGTGGTAGTAGAGGCAGGTGGCACCAGGCCCTTAGGCTGCTGTGAGGACTCTGGCATGGTCTGAGGGAGGGCAAAGTGCTCAGGGTTTGCAGCAGAATGACACCATCTGGCTGCCTATTGGAGCACGGATGGGGTGGGGGCAGGAGGGCAGCTGAGAAGTTGCTGCAAATACCCCTGTGGCCAGGGAGGTGGGAGACGGGGCAGATTTCCAGATACACTGGGTCAGAAGGCCAAGGTGATTCTAAAGAGCCACTGTCCAGAGAATGGAAAGACCAAATACCACATACAAGGATCCATGAGAAACCCTGCGGAAAGAAGGGCAGCAGTGAGAGGAAACCAGACCAAAGCCAAGCTGTGAAGGCTTCAGGGTGGGCAGGGCAAGAAGAAACAATGAGTTTCTAGAAGCAAGAAGCAGGGGCACCCAAAGGCCAGGAAACCAGTTACACAGATACTGTCACACACAAAAAAGAGAGACAAATGCACAAGGCTCTGGATTTGATCCCTGAGAGAAGAGAGAGAGAGACTATTTCCTTACATAGTTTTATTTTTTTTTCTTCTGGTTACAAAAATAATGCATATCAGCTAGGCGTGGTGGCACACACCTGTAATCCCAACACTCAGAAGGCAGGAGGACTGCTGTGAATTTGAGACCAGCCTGAACTACATAGTGAAACCCTGTCTTAAAAAAACAAAAAAGCAAAACAAAAGCAAAAAATAATACATGTTCATCATGGAAAATAAGTAAAGTACAGAAAAGCATAAAAAAGGAAAACATAACCTCATATACAAATGTTTATCTGTGGATGGTAAGGTTATGTGATTAGAAAAACAAGTGGGCCAGGGATTCAGCTCAGTGGTTCCACCGCCTGCCTCGAAAGCACAAGGTCCCAAGTTTGATCCCCGGTACCAAAAAAACAAAAAGAAAAACAAGTAAGATGTCCTAGGATTAGAGTCAGGAGTGGTGATGCACATCTGTAATTTCAGCGCTGGGAA